GGAACCTTTTTTCCCGGGGGGGGGGGGGGTCGGGGCCCGCCGGCGGGGGGGCGCTGCCCCGGGGGCACGGCGGCTGCCCCGGCCCCGGCCCCGGCCTGCCTGACCCCTTCTGTCTCTGTCTGCTCCCAGCCGGCCGCCTCGGCGGCCCTGTACGCTCAGCTGGTGCAGGGCAAGAAGGGGCTGGAGGCGGTGGAGGCCCTGGGGAAGCTGCTGGCCCACATAGAGCAGAACCTGTCCAGGAGAGGCACGGCCTACTTGGCTGGGGTGAGTGGGGCGGGGGGAGCCCCGCTCCCTGGGGGAGCCCACGGGGAGGGGTGGGCCCTTCTCCCGGCGAGCTGAGCCTGCTGCTGCCTGCCCTGAGGCAGAGCCCTGAGCCGGGGCCGGGGCTGCCTCAAGGCCTGACTCTGCTTCTCTGGCCCAGGACACCAAGTCGGTGGCTGACATGGTTGTGTGGGGTACCTTGTTCCCTGTCTTCCAGGATGAGACCAGCCTGCCAAGTAAGAGTGAAATAGGGGTGCCAAGGGGGAGCATTCCTTGCGTTCCTATGGCTGTAAGAATCATGCTGCTGTCTCTCTGCCCCCCAAGGTGAGCTGCAGGCGCTGAGGACCTGGTTCCAGAGCATGACACTGTTGGACGCCTGTAGGAAAGCTGCTGACTCCGTTCTGATGCCCAAGGCGCTGCTGGAGTTCAAGTCCTACCTGCAGAAGCAGCCTCCACCCTGCCTGGCCATGGAGAGAGCCACCAGTAACGAGCCCGAGGTGCATCCCTGGCCCCCTGCTCAGCCCTGGCCCAGGGATGGGCCCCCGTGGGGTTGGCGGCGACAGACACGCAGACCCTCACTGGGACCATCCTTCCCCGCAGGAGGAAGAAGGTTCTGAGCGTGCCCTGACGGAGGAGGAGATCACAGCTGCTGCGGATGCCTGGGCCCACGGTGCTGCGGCGCTACCCAAGCCCTGGCAGCCTCAGAAACCTGTGTGAGTCCCAAGATGACACTAGGGCTGGCTGTCCCAGACCTACGAGGGGCCTGGCAGGGGCTCCCAGGCTGATGCCACACTGTTCTGTGGTGGGGTGGCCCTGTTGCTCTTTGTGCCTGCTTTGACTGCCCCTGTCCACGCCAGGCTGCCCGTGGAGGGCATGAGGAATGTCCTGATCACCAGTGCTCTGCCCTACGTGAACAACGTCCCCCACCTTGGCAACATCATTGGCTGCGTCCTCAGTGCTGACACCTTTGCCAGGTGAGACCTGGCTGCGGGAAAGCCCCCTGGGGCCAGGGGATCGCGGTGGGGGACTGTACTGCTCCCAACACCTGCACGGGTGTCACAGGCCCCTGCCTGCAGGTACTGCCGCCTGCGGAACTGGAACACGCTGTATGTCTGCGGCACAGACGAGTACGGCACAGCCACTGAGACAAAGGCAGTGGAAGAGGGGCTGACGCCCCAGGAGATCTGCAACAAGTACAACGCCATCCACGCGGACATCTACCGCTGGTTTGACATCTCCTTTGACTACTTCGGCCGCACCACCACGCCGTACCAGACCACGTGAGCGGCTGCATCCCCCAGGGGCTCACATGGAGGGACTGGTGCTGGGGAATGTTGGGGGGAACCCCAGTGTGTCTGGCTGAGGGTGCTCTGTGGCTCTCCAGGGTTCCTTGGCTGATGGGGGCTGCCCCCCTCCTCTTCCTCTCCTACCCCAGGATTGCCCAGGACATCTTCCAGCGCCTGCTGGCGCGTGGTTTCCTGCTGCAAGACACTGTGGAGCAGCTGCGATGCGAGGACTGCCAGCGGTTCCTGGCTGACCGCTTTGTGGAGGGCACCTGCCCCTTTTGCAGCTATGAGGAGGCCCGGGGGGACCAATGTGATAAATGTGGCAAACTCATCAATGCTGTGGAGCTGAAGGTGGGATAGGGTCCCTCTGGGGACCACCCCACAACCCCCCGCCCCCACTCTGCCTGGGACTCCCCAGCCTTGTCCTGGGCTCCCTCCAACCCGTGTTTTTTCTCCTGACAGAATCCACAGTGCAAGCTCTGCAGGGGTGTCCCTGTGGTGAAACCCACCCAGCACCTCTTCCTGGACCTACCCAAGGTGAGCTTCATCGCTGGGGGAGCAGATGGGGCACCCCCTGGTACCACTGACCATCCCTCTGTGTTCCCCCACAGCTGGAGGAGCAGCTGGAGCCCTGGCTGGAGCAGTCCTGGGCCACGGGGGACTGGACAGCCAACGCTCGCTACATCACTCGCTCCTGGATCCGGGATGGGCTCAAACCCCGCTGCATCACCCGTGACCTGAAGTGGGGTACGCCTGTGCCCCTTGATGGCTTCCGTGACAAGGTGTGTCCCACCTGGCCCCTCGGTTGCAGCGTCTGTCCCCAGGTGCCCTGCCCGGGGGTCCCCTGCTCATATATCACTGTCCCCCCAGGTTTTTTACGTGTGGTTTGATGCTCCCATTGGTTACTTGTCCATTACGGCCAACTACACCGACCAGTGGGAGAGATGGTGGAAGAACCCACAGCAGGTAGGAGCCTGCTGCTGGGCAGAGGGAGGGACAGAGCTGAACACCAGGGTCCACTGATGTCCCCGCTGCCTCCCCCTGCTACCTATCAGGTTGACCTCTACAACTTCATGGCCAAGGACAACGTCCCGTTCCACAGCGTCATATTCCCCTGCTCGCTCCTGGGCGCTGACGACAACTATACCCTGGTGAACCACCTCATTGCTACAGGTACTGGGGGGGTCACCAGGGATCGGGGGGTCTCCCCATTCCCCCGCTTTCCCTCAGTACTGGGAACAGCCCAGGCTGTCCAGCACAGGCACGAGACTGCATTTGCCCTCCTTGACTTGGAAGCCCCTTGGAGCTCGGTGTGAGCCCATGAGCACTTTGACGGCATCTCCCTGTGTTGCGGGGCTCTTCCCTGCCTGGGAGAGGGCTGGATCCATGCTTGGGCCCCATGGTCGTGTCTCTCCTGCCCTCCCCAGAGTACCTGAACTATGAGGACGGGAAGTTTTCCAAGAGCCGGGGTGTGGGAGTGTTTGGGGACATGGCCAAGGACACAGGCATCCCTGCGGACATCTGGCGCTTCTACCTGCTGTATGTGCGGCCTGAAGGGCAGGACAGTGCCTTTTCCTGGAGCGACCTCATGCTCAAGAACAACTCGGAGCTGCTGAACAACCTGGGCAACTTCATCAACAGGTTCTGGGACGCCCTGGCGGTGGCAGGGTCTGTCTCTGTCCCCAGGTTGTGCTCATGCCTGCTCTGCCTCTGTCCCCAGAGCTGGCATGTTTGTGTGCAAGTTCTTTGGTGGCACTGTCCCCAACATGGTCCTGACACTGGATGACAAGCGGTTCTTGGCCCGTGTCACCCTGGAGCTGCGCCAGTACCACCAGCTGTTGGAGAAAGTGCGGTGGGTAGCTGAAACCCCGGAGCTGGAGCAGGGCTGAATTGTCATGGGGGTGGGAGAGCAGAGCCCTGACCTACAGCAGCCACTCAGCCCCCCTCTACCCCTCCCCAGCCTCCGCGATGCCCTGAGGTGTATCCTTAGCATCTCTCGCCATGGCAATCAGTACATCCAGGTGAACGAGCCCTGGAAGCGGATCAAGGGCGATGAAAAGGACAGGTAGGGAGAGACAGGGGATGGGTGGGGGGGCAGGACTGGGAGCTGGCACTGATGGAGGGTTTCCTGCCCCACAGGCAGTGTGCAGGCACAGTGACCGGTGTGGCAGTGAACATGGCTTCCATGCTGGCCGTCCTGTTACAGCCCTACATGCCCGGTGTCAGCTTGGCCATCCAGAGGCAGCTCTGCATCCCCCCGGAATGCTTCGTCCTGAGCCACGACTTCACCTGCACCCTGCCCCCCGGGCATCGCGTGGGCACCGTAGGTGGTGGTGGCGGGGGGAAGGCAAGCTGTGCCCCCCCAAGCAGTGCAGGGGTGACCCCTCTTCTTCCTGGCTCCAGGTGAGCCCCCTGTTCCAGAAGCTGGAGAACGACCAGGTTGAAGCCCTGCGCAAGCGCTTTGGGGGAGGACAGGTGAGTGGGGGCTGTGGTGCCCCTGCAGCTCTTCCAACTTGGGCTCCTCCTAGCCTCTCCACCTCTTTCTGTCCCTCCTCACTTGCTGTCTCTCCTTTCCCAGCCTGAAGATATTGCTGTAGAGCCCCAGGTAACTCCCTGGCACTGCCTCAGGGGTGCTGCAGCAACCCACCCCTCTCCCGCGTGAGGGGGGGGGGTGGGTGCAAAGCTCTGCCCCTTGGGGCTGGGGCCAGGGCTCATACCTATTTCTGTCCTTCCGCAGGCCAAATGGACCCCTCCAGCCTCAGAACCCTCTCCAGCCCCAGCGACTGTCGTGGCTCCAGGTGACCCCCAGCTGATCCAGGAGCTGACAGAGGAGGTGGCCAAGCAGGTGGGGGGTGTGTGTGGGGGGCTGGCCCTGTCTTGCCCTTCTACGCCCAAGCCCTTATCACACCCCCCCACCTGCCCTAGGGCAACCATGTACGGCAGCTGAAGGCCAACAAGGCAGAGAAGGCACAGGTTGATGCGGAGGTGGCCAAGCTACTGGAGCTGAAGAAGCAGCTGGCGCTAGCAGAGGGCAAAAGCCCTGAAGTCCCTGTGCCCAAAGGGAAGCGGAAGAAGTAGCACCTGGCTCCTCTGTGCTGGGGAGCAGCCCCAGTGCTACCCAGAGACCAGACTGGGCTGTGCTGGTGGTTATGTGCGTGTAATAAAATCCAAAAGCTATACAGTATAATTGCGTATGAAAGCAGTGCCCTCTCCATGGCATCAGTCTGTGCCAGTAGGGCAGTGCCCCTCCAGTTCACGGCTGACCCCCAGCTCCGCAGGGGCAGCAGAGTCCTTGCCCCACTGGTTGCGGGGCAGCGCCGGTGCCTAAGCCTGGCGGAGGTTCACAATGCGGTCGATGAGGGCTGCCCGTGTGTGCTCCACCTCTGCGCTGAGCCGCCGGATTTCTTCCCGGAGCTGCTCGTTGTGGGCTGTCAGCTCCAGCACCCGCTGCTCGTTGGCCTGCTCCCGACGCTTGCCCAGCTCCCTGCCTGCTGTCATGCCACCGCACCTCTTCCTCTTCACCCCGCGCCCTCCAGCTGCCCCTGCCTCATCCTCCTCTGTGCCCAGCTGGGGTGGGGGGCTGCTGCTGGAGGCCGCGCCTGGTGGTCCCGCTGGCTCTGTGCTGGCCGTGCTCTCTGGCCCCAGCAGCTCCAGCAGCTCAGCAGCCAGGGCAGCATCCAGCTCGCAGCCCTCTGGGCCGCTGCCAGTCCCCTCCGAGCCCCACGGCGGAGCCAGCTCTGCCTGCAGGGAGAGAGGAGGAGCCAGCCCCCGGCGATGGGTGCCCCCTGCCCTGTTCCACCCCCACCAGCGGGGTTGCTGGCCGCTCAGCTCACCTGCTCAGCCCCCCAGGGCAGGGAGGGCCCACTGGGCTCTGCTGCTGCCAGCACTTCCTGCAGGTCCTGGTACCAGGCTTCCAGCTCCCAGCTGGGCAG